TTCATTATGATTTTGTCATAATGAACCCATCTACTACATGGAGCTACAATGCTCAAATAAACAAATAAAAAGATGTCTGTATTATATCTAAGTGGTTCTGTTTGGAGAATCTACCAAGGAGCATCCCACCAGGGAGAGCTGGTGCATGACTCTTTCTCACAGCTCTGAGTGGCTGTCACCCAGGGCACTGATGGGCCACAGGAGCCAAACCATGGCCATGCTGCAGAAGGCAGGCCCTCCTGACAGCACAGGCAGCAGGAGGCCTGGAGAAGTGACCCAGAGCAGGGACTCAGGCAGAGGCCCAAGGCCCTGAAGCCTGTGGAGCTCAGCCACAGGGCAGGAGCCCAGGTGGAAGGAGGCTCCTCGCAGGGTTAGAGGCTTCTGAGCTGGGGTTGCGTGGTGCCTCCCAGCAAGGCCAAGACACCCATCAGTGCCTAGGATCTACTGCCACCAGGGCAAGAAGTGCCTCCCCACACACCGCCACCAGCCTGTCTGACTTCACAGGGCAAGCAACACCTCCCCATGCAGAATGAATGGGCATATTAAATGCAAAAGTCTAGAAAGATTAACTTTAAGTGGGTTTACCTGAGTAAAGAAATGATTCATGAATAGGGCAGCACCCCAACAAGCAGCCCCACCCAGGTGGGAGGAGCATCCTGAGGGCAGCAATGAGCAACATCCTGCCTGTGCCTTCAGGGACAGGTTGGCCAATTGGGGAACTCTGCCTGCTGGGATGGGTGGGCACCCCTGGTTTCCAGAGCACAGTCTTCAGGTAGGTAGTGGTCAGGTCACCTCTTGAGTTAGTCCCCTGTGCCACGTGGGTTTAGGACAGCTTACCTTTGCAGAGGCAGCCTTCATGCTCAGCAGTGGGGGATGAGCAGACCTTGGGCTGGAAGGAAGGCTGAAGATGCTCCTGGGGGGTGATCATGGGGGGACAGGATGCCCAGGCCACTCAGAGTCTGTAGGACAATGCAGAACTGCATGGGATCCAACTGAGAAGAAGTGTCTGGCTGACACCGAAATGTCAAGAGAGTTCATGGTCGTTATTTTCTACCTGTAATTTTCAATATTCAATTGTAAAGTTTAAAAATATAGACATGCCTGAATAAAGCAACTTATATTTAAATATCTTAAAACAATGCACAATTTTAGAAAGCAACGAACATTTGAAGAGAAGTGTCCACTGTGGCGACAGTGTCTGAGGTTTCCTGCAGGTGTGAGCTAGAGTGTCCACCCAAGCCTTGGACCTGGCTCCTGGACACCTACTGTTTCAAGCCTGTGCTTCACCTTGAGGGTTGGCACTAAGATGCATTTTCCTTCCCCAGGTGTCCATGTCTCCTTACTTGTCCTTCTGGCCATCAGTGGGTCCAGAGACAGAGCACCAACATGTAGGGCCCCCCTCAGGCCACCCAGGGCAAGGCCCAGAGTCCCAGTCTCAGGGAATGATGAGGGGACCCAAAGGTCTTTGCAAAGGGTGAATTTGAGACAGCCTGCAGGATACACAGTGTGATGACCTCGAAGTTCAGGCCTAGGGAAGACCCTTGTACAGAGCACAGAGGACCCGAGCATGCAGCTAAGCTCAGGAGCTGCCAAGGAGCCAGGCATCAAGGGGCAGAGCGCTGGCCTGCTTCCATCCTGCAGGACCCCATGGGCCACGGAAAGAGCTGCCAAGTCTACTTCAAGCCTCTGGGAGGTTTTGAAGGTGTGTGTGCCCTGGCCACCAGGGTTGTGGGCAGCTGTGCCTGCTCTGTGCAGAAAGGGCTGTGGGAGACATGGGCAGGCAGGAGGCCTGAGAGGACGACTGGTGGCATGGACAGTGGGGTGTGACCTTTAATGTCCTACTTGGGAGAAGAAGGAGTTGGCAGATTAACAATGACAATCTCCTTAGCTAGTCTTAATTGAGCACCACTACATTCTAAATACTTCTGCATACTAACCCTGTCAGTTCTCAACACAGGCCCTCAGGAGAGTTCTGCCCTGACCTCGATCCGGCAAATGAGGACCCAATCAGAGGGATGTGAGGAAACGTGAGGCTGGCATCCAGGTGTCCGACACAGCACACAGCAGGCCCCATGTGCTCCTTGGAAAGCACCAGGTGGGCTGGCGGGGGACACGGGGCAGAGCAGGAGGCAGTAGGGATGCTGCTGCTCCCTCTGCACAGCTGGCCCTGAGGTGCCCGCTGCAGACTGACCCACTGAGGAGACCCGACCTGGTGCTAAGGCCCACAGAGACAGAAGCCTCCCAGAGGCCATGGGTGGAGTGCACTGCAAGGACTCCCAGCAGAGACCCTGCTTCCTACTGTATATCCCTGCATCAGTTCCCCAAGTCACTGCCCATGAAACCAAGAATCCAGGGGCCTGCCCTCCATGCCCTGCCTGTCTCCTGCCTCAGTTCTACTTCCTCCACCTTCACCAGCCCTGGAAGCAAAATGTCTCTGCAGGAGGTGAAGACTGCATCCTGTGCATCTCCTTGGGCACAGGCCAGGTGGGACTACCCAGGGAGCAGGGTGTTCCCCAGACCAGCCAACAGGGCCTCTGTGTGTGGCCCAGCTGCTTCATTTCTTCCCCACAGGCTGAGACCAGTAGCTCAAAGCCACCATCATCTTTACTTGGAGAGAGCTTGGTTAGCCTACCTCAGGAACCTCGACCAGCAGCTGTTGGCCACTGGGAAGACCTTGTAGTTTCCAGACCACAACTCCTAATGAGCAGCCCATCCTGCTGCTGGTGACTGTCACCTGAACAGGTGACCCCTCCTGACACCCTCCACCCCAGGAGCCCCTCACCTTCCTTCCCCCTTGGTGGTCCCTGGCCTCAGGCCCTTGGACAGTGTCATGTTAGGGGCTTCCTCTCCTGCTGCTATGTGTCACTGCCTGCAGAGCCTGAGAGGCAGGGCTCCCTCTGTGGGGTGCCCTCCATCAGCTATAGAGCTCCTGGGCCTCCGAGCACACAGAAAGGACTCAGATATGCAAGGGAGACTCAGGTGGGCCTCCAGCCTCGGCTCCTCCTGCTCTCCATCTGCCACAGCAGTGCCTGGAGCTGCTCAGGGGTGGAAAGCACATGGCGAAGCCACCTGAGGTTCAGTGTTCAGCCAGAGGCTGCTGTGCCAGGTGCCAGGCAAAGCCACCTAAAGGGGGGCTCCAGCAGAACATTCCATCTGGCACTGTCACCTGGGTGTTCTGGAGTCACTGGGCAGGCAGTGGCCCTGTGAATGCACCAGACAACTGGCCACAGGAAAGACAGCAGGGTGGGGGCTTCAGATGCACAGAGGGAGACAGGGTGCACATGCAGACCCTGACCTTGTGTTGCCATGTCCAGCAGAGCTGCCCCAGAGGAAATCCGCACAGAACAGCAAAGACCCACCTGGGCTGACTCTTTTATTTATTTATTTTTTACTGGGGATTGAACCCAGGGATGCTTAACCACTGACCCTTTATTTTCCATTTTGAGATAGGGTGTTGCTATGTTGCTGAGGCTGGCCTCAAATTTGCAGTCCTACGGCCTCAGCCTCCTGAGCCTCAGATTACAGGTGGGTGCCACTCTGCCAGGCACCAAGTGTGCTGCCTCTTGGTTGAAAGTCACAAATGTGTTAGAAACCACAACACAGAGAGGTGGGATCCATGGATGAGCCTCTGGTGCAGGTACCAACAGGAGAGATCTCAAGAACACCACTGTGAGGGGGAAACAGCAAACACCCAGCAGCAGGCGCCACCTGCTGTCACCTACAAGGGTCCAGAACAGCCAATCCCAGCAGGCGGCTCTCAGCAGGGGACTGAGGCCCAGGGCACATTCCACACTGCCTGGAGACAGAGGGCAGTAGGGAGAACTGCTGACTCAGAAAGGCAGCCTGTCAGCCAACAGCACTGTGTCCTGCTGCCCCACTCCTGGTGCAAGTTTCTGGAACTGTTTCTGGTTCCTAAGAGTGAACTCCAGGGGAGGCTGGGGCAGGGAGACTGCAGCTCGGTGCTGCTTTTGCAACTTTCCATTAAGTAGGAAAGTATTTCAAAATAAAGGCGGAAGGGAGTGAGCATGCATGTGGAGGTGCAGCGCCATCAGAGGGCCTTGGAGGGGACTCTGTTGCTGATGCGTGTTCAGCAATCCAGACAGTAGGGACCTACACAGATCTGCACATTTAAACTCTTTATTCAGCAACGCTCTACCCAAGGCCACTCCAGGCCACCTTACTTTCTAAACCTGAACATGGTCATGTCCTGGATTGCAGGGCCTTCTCCTCCCTGGGTCTCTGACACAGTTGACATCCTTGTGTTGACTGCAAGTTCCCTGAGGAAAGGGACTGGGGCTCTGTTGCCACATTTGTTCTGCACAAGGGTACAGGCACTGAGCCAGACGGGGAGCATCAACACCTGATCATGTCCCCACCAGGGGAGGCTTGCCCAGGGGAGAGCTCTGGTCTTCAGCAGTCCTCTTTGGCCCCCATGGTGACCACAGCCTGGACAGTTCTGGAAGAGCCAGATGTCAGCTGTTTTAACTGATGTGTCATCTCTGGGGTCAACATGGGGCATTGTGGGAATCAGAGGGGCACCTAGTTGTGAGCATGGGGACAGTGTCATGTGGGACACAAGAGGCCCAAGGCAGCAAGTGGAAGATGCCAGCAGAGATAAAGGACCAACTTCTCAGAAGCAAGATGGACCAAGAGGACGGACACCCTCCTGTTGTAGGGACAAACGAGGCAAAGCACCGAAGACAGCAGGAAACAGTTTTATTTGGCTGCAGCCAGGTTCAGAGGGTTCAGTCAATCCCTGAACCCCGAGTTCAGGGAGTTTCAGAGTTTTATACCTAGCTTGTAAGGGAAGGGGCTCAGAAGTTCACAGTCTGCAGAAGTTCACATAAAAGCAGCTTTTCTTTCATTGTTCTGGGCAAGTTAATTCTTCAAGGACAACACCTGAGAAGGAGAGAGCTTCTTCTCCCCTTTCTTTCCTCCCCCTGCCAGCTGTTACCATGGAGCCCAGTTGGTAACATATCTTAAAAATGTAGACATCTCTGTGAAGCCCAGCTCAAGGCCAGAGGCCTTGTTGCACATTTCTTCAAAGTACTATACTGGATACATTTGTGAAAAACGTATCCAGTATAATACCTGGAGTGCTGGTGTCTTCTCAGCCAGTGGCCAAGTAAACAGGGCGACATGAAAATAGGAAGCTTATCTATATTGGACTCTCACAGAGACTCTTTTGCTGACAGTCCTAAAATCAGCCGTGGTGAAGATTTCTGGAGAGGCCCAGTTAAGACTTTTCTGTGGAGAAACGGGGGTGCCACTTCACTCCAGGTCCTGAGACAAACATGCACCTACTTCAACAGCAAGCTCTGCTTCCAGCTCAGAGGCGGGAAGTGGTGCTCAAACCAACCCCAGCCCATAATGCATCAGGACGGATTTGGCAGATGATAAACTAAAGCTTTAATCATGGAAGTCAAGGTGGCCCTTGGCATTACCCAGAGGCCCTGTAACTTAAGCTAAAGGAAGAGGGAGGAGAACAGAAGGGTGGGCATGTCCCCAAGTAAGGCAGAGGCCCAGAACCTCAGAGCAGCAGCCCCAGCAGGAGGAGGCTACCAAGGACCCAGGAGCTGAGGGAGGCTTTGAAGCTGCCGCTGGTGTTGGGAACTAAGGAGGCTTGTGAACACTGGACCTGTCGGAAGACGACTCCCCCGACTGTCTGGTTGGCAGTGCCCAGGAGCTGACAGGTGGAGTTACTGATGTCGGAACAGCCTTTCAGCAGGAGGTACTGAACTTCGAGGCCTGTGAGGCAAAGGGACGGTCAGGTCCACCACCCCTTCACTTCCTGCATCTGCCCTGCTCTTGACTCCAGTCTGCTGCTGGCAGCTTCGACCTGCAGCTGGTCTGCCCCTGACCCCACGCAGCAGGGAGGAGTCAGAGTCAAGGGCAGAAAGAGAAAGGGAACAGGAATGGTGAACCTCAGGGGCCTAGACCCCTCCTCCGCCTACCCTGAGGACCCTGAGGCTGTGAGAGCTGTCCTGAGCCTGCCTCAACATCAGGGCCAGAGCTCAGACTCAGACTCCCAAGGTCCCCTGAGCTCCCCTCCCTTCCAGGGTTTGCTTTCACTCCCCCCTTCTCTGGATCTGACTCTCGCTGCCTGAGGTTTCCCTGAGGAAAAAAAAAAGGGGGAAAAGGCAATAGAAGGGATGTAGGGAGATTGTGGCATCTCCACTCTAAACCTGAGGGCTCTCATTGCTTTTCCATGTTGGAGATTTAGATCCCAGAAATAAAGTCAAGGACATTTGCATATAAGATGCGGCCACAGTAGTGCTACCTTTTACTGAACAATTACTATGTGGCCCTGCTGATCCGTCACCTACAACTCCACACCCTGGGAGAAAAGCAGCTCTCAGGATGGAGGATCTCACAGGGAAGTGAAGGGGCTGTACTTGCTTCTTATCAGAGCAGGGTCACAGCGTAGGAGCAAGGCTGACTCTTGACTTTCTTTGAAAAGTAGAGAACCTTCCAAGGCCAGTGTGGAAAGCAACCCATGGCTATTTTACAGCGAGGATCGTGCTGGAGTGGGTATTAAAATGAGCTAGGAAGACTCTAGAGTTTTAAAAACCATGATCTTGAGCAGGACAAGCAAGCAAGAAAAGCTCCGTTCATAAGGGCCTTGTCACGCTGGCTGGCCTGGACTTCTGGGCCAGAAGTCCAGTGGGACAGTTCTTCCCCTGCAGCCTCTGCCCAGACCAAGCTGGAGAATCACAACAGAGCAGCATAGATCCCCCCAGTCAAGGGCAGGGAAAGAGCCTTAGCTGGGCTGCAGGTCCATGCAGAGTGTGTTTTCAGCACATGTGAGGCCCTGGGATCAACAGCAGCCCCAAAACAAAGCAAAAGAGCCTGAAATGCTCCTGCTATGAAAACAAAGCCCTTCTGAGAAGATCCCGTGCTGTGTGGCCAGCCACAGGACATTCTAGGGAAGGAAACCTTCAGGGACAGCAGAGGTCGGCAGTCACCATAGTCTCCTGGGGAAGGATGGAGGTCTCAGGGCTGGGACCCAGGGACATAGAGAAAATGCTCTGTCCTCACTGCAGTGGGGTCATGGACATGTCAATTCACCCCTGTTCAAACCCCAGCATCGTCCATACTCAGAGAAACTCCTGATGTCCACTATAGACATTGGGAACAAGGACGTGCCAGTGCAAGTTGATCCCTGGTAAGGAGCATGCCCTCTGTGGGAAGGTAACAGTGAGGGGCCATGTGGGGTAGATGGGAAATCTCAGTCTTCTTTGAATGTTGATGTGACTAAACGTTTTCTAAAAGGTAAATTCTATTTGAAAAGAAGCACAAAGAAACTCAGGATAAGTCTGGTGTTCGACCCCAGCCAAAAATCCATGATCACAGTCAAGCATAGGAAATGACATTTGGCAAAAAGTGAAGTCAAATTATACTCAGATGTTGGTGCCCTGACACCCTACAGTGGAGTGGAGAAGTGCAGGTTTTAGAGGAAGAAAAGTGGTCCCATCCACACCACAGACCAACGGCAACCAGGAAGAGCAATGTGAGGAGTTTCCTGCTGCCATTCATGAGCCTGGCTGGACCACAGTCACAGGAGGACAGGGCCTGAGGGGGGCACAGGAGAAGGAGCTCTGGGCTCTGATGGCAGAAACCACAGAGGGCTCAGCGCTCCAGCAGGCTCCCCGTCAGGCATCCCACTCCCCAGCCCCTGTGTGGACGGTGACCCAGGGCCTGATGTGCTCTCAGCTCAAATCCATAAAGGACCTTGGACTTCTAGACGTACCATTTATGAATTCCACCTCTATCTGGACACACTGCTGTCCCCAACTACACCTGTGGGTCTTCTCGCTGCAGGAAGTCGTGTTGAGTCCATAGCAAGCAGGGCACATGGTGTTGCTGGACCCGTCATCTGGGGCAGGGACTGGGCAGAGTGAGAACCATTAGTATGGACCCGTGACCACATGGAAAGTGTCCCTGCCCTGGGGGAAGGGACCCACACGAGAATAAGCAGCCCCCTATCCTAGCCTCAGTACCTGACCCAGACACAGGTCTCAGCAGTGTCCATACTCCATGCCCTCACGCACCTGCCCTGGCAGGCCACCGGCTTCAGGACCCAGGGGATAGACTGAGAAGAGGAAGGTGGCACCACAACCAAGAGCAACACTAGCCAAGTGCACTGAGCCTGGCCAGCAGGTGTCTGAGGTCAAGCCTCGCCCTGGACACAGGAGCAGGCCCTGATTCATCATCCTGATAAGAGGAAAAGGATGTGCAGAGACCAGCCCTGCTCTGAGCTCACTGGCTCTGTGATGTGGCCATGAACCTTGCCTCGGGGCCACATTTTTGTCTCTTCAAAGGAAGGCCTTTGGTTAGGTCAGCAGTGCTCAAACTGGGGTCCGCGGGTCCCTGGGGCTGTAGATACAGGCTGCGTGAGGGCACCTCCGAGCCTCACAGGGTTTCCAGAGCCCGTGGGGGGAGTAATGCAGCAGACCAGCAGCTGGAGCAGGTGGACAAGCCGGCTGCCCCAGTAACTAAGAACTCTGCAGGACACCCAGGGACACCACTCCACCCGCAAAATGGTTTCATTTTGTAAAATGTAGTATTTCTACCTAAAACCATACTTGTGTTGTTGTCTAATTATTTTTTTTGAGTGAATTGGACATGATTTCTGTATTTTCTTAGCTTTGACTTCTAAGAGAGAGAAATATGTAAATAAATAAAATATAAATAAATAAAAGCCATCTGGGATCCTCAGCGTCTTCACAGAAGACCTGAGACCCTGAGTTTGAGAACTACTGAGGAATGTCCACTGCCCCTTTGCACATCAGGGTACTCCCAGCACCTGTCCTTACTGAGGGGGGACAGCATGGTAGCAGGGCCAGTTCGTCACACTGGTTCCTCACGTAATTGTTGTACGTCAGAAGGGAACGTCACCACGGGATGCAGGAAGTGTTGGGACTTGAGGTCCCACCCCAAGGGAAGGGGCGTGGACACAGAGGGCAGGAATAGAAGGTGGGCAGCAGCCCAGGCCAGTACACACCCAGAACATGGCTGGCATTTCTGCAGGGCTGTCCTTGGCAGCACTGGCTGGCGAAGTGGACGTGCTCTCCAGAAGCCACGTGGACAGTGAAGGGGTCCAGCTCCTGCGTGCAGTTCTGTCCTGAGCAGGACATGCCCTGGTACAGCTTGAGGAATTCTCCTGCACAGAGGCAAGCACAGCCATCACCGGGGCCCAGAGGCTCCAGCGAGGCTCCCAACAGCCACTGCAGAAGCACAGCTGCTACCCCATCTCAGTGTGTCTGGAGGTCTGGAGGCTCCCCTCAGGCACCGCCCTGACTGACCAGGAGCCCCAGAGAGGCCAGCTGAACACGGGCAGAGGCTGAGAAAGGCCTGGAGGTGGGGGGTGCTGGTAACCCAGGGCCACCTGTCAATCCCAACCTCCGTAAAGCCCAGGAAGCAGATGTGGTGGACTTGGGGGCCGGACACCAGAACACTGCCTGTGTCCCTGCTCAGAACCTGAATTGAGTCCAGCAGCCTCTGACCACAGCTGTCCAACAAGGCAGCCCTGGCTCCATGCAGGACTGATGGTGAATCTAGATTAATTACAATTAAGTACTGTTCACAGTTAAGCCCTTAGCCACACTAGCCATATCACCAGTGCCCCAGAGCCTCCTCATCCACCTGCAGGCAGCGTGCAGGACCGTGCTGACATGAACAGTCCCCCAGTTGAGGATGAGGCCTCTGGACAGCAACAGGCAGGGCACAGGGATACCAGGAACTGGAAGACAAGCTGAAGGTCACCACAGGGAAGTCCTCACCACAGCCAGAATACAGGACAGCCCCAGGGAGCAGGCCCTTCCCCCCAACAACCAAGGGGACCTAACAAAACTGAGGGGGGCGTCATAAAGCAAGACCCACGGAACAGGTCTGAGGGAGGATCTCAGTGTGGGCTGGGGGTCCTCGTTCTAACGCCAGCTCACTGCACATGGCATCTCTGAGACAGCTGAGAAACTGTACCAGGCTCGGGGTTAGAGGAGATTAAGGGATCACAGCTAATCTCTTGGTGTGATTATGATACAGCAATCATACCTTACAAGTCTAATCAGGGATGGACAGTGGGATACTCATGAGGGAAATGGCAAGTGACAGATAGCTTACGATCACAGACACATGTCACACACACGCACACACTTCAGAATACAGTGGCAAGGCACAGGGAGGCTGACAGCTGCTGACATGGGGCAGGTGCGAGGGCTCTCCCGTCCTCCATTGCTCTGAGGGGGGAGGAACAGTCAAGGTGCCTGCTGAGCAAGGCCTGAGGGAGGGGTGTTTGTTAGAAGAGAAGGAAACCAAGAGAGGATAGGGTTGTGGGAGCTACATGCACCTGGGGCAAGCCGTCTGCCTCCTTGTGTGACTAATCGCCTCTCTCTGCACACGCTGCTGTGGCCTGGAGGGAGTCCCCCCGGCCACAGTGGCCTCTCTGTGACATGCAGGCTTATCTGTGCTGGCTGGGCCCCGGGTTCCCATCTGACTGCTGCCCAGCCCAGCCACGTGCTGCCTGCCCTGAAGCCACCTCGACCGTGTCTCCCTGCTCTCCCAGCCCCACCTGGGACGTCCTTCTTCCTCTTCAGCTCCAGCCCCGAGCAAGCCCCAGAGCTGAGGGCCACACGGACGGACCCACTGCTCACCTAGAGAGAAGTTGGCCGAGGAACTCAAGCAGCTGGTGTTAGCTTCTGTAGCACACGGTTTGGCGTTCTCATTGGCACAGGATCCTGACCACGAGTTACACTGCACACAACTCAGGGATTCTGGGGACACAAAGTATCCAACGTCAGCCAAAATCCAGTAGACATGGATAGAGCATACTCTGGGCACAGTAGAGGATACAGACGGGCTGGTGGCCCTGCCCCGTGGGTACCCCCACACCTGCTACCATGAGCTGGAGACACACCCATTAGTTTTTCCCCACTGTTCCCCAAAATGAAGCCCCAACTTCATCGATGACACAGAGGGGCCCTTTGGAATGCAGGGTACAAGGACAGGTCCCCTGCTCTCCACTGACCACACTTTGACACCAGAGGCTGTGTGAGAGGTCCCCTGAGCAAAAGACCAAGAAGGTCCAGGCCAAATAGATGAAGCGCCTTCTTCCCCAAAGAAGCCTTGCGGTCCTCTCACCTGCAGTGGCAGTTACAAGAGCTGCGAAGATGGCAGCCGTGAGGGCGACTTTCATGGTGCTGATGCTGACCTTTCCCAAGGGTGGGCCACCAGGGGTGAAGCCTGAAGGACACAAAGAGAGCCGACCCAGGGGCTTGGAGAAATTTCTGTCATCCCCAAGAGGTTTTTATCATGCTCTAACAAGTCCCATACGTGCTCCGTATTTGTGACAGAAAGAATCAGAGTCCTGTTCCAGGAGCACACAGCTGTGACTTAGAGTCCAGGCTTTCAGTGCAGATGCCTCTCCAGAATTTCAAGATTCAGAAAACAAGGGTGTGGCACAAATCCTGCAGAAGCATCTACATGCAGAATGAAAAGTCTGGGCCCATCCCGTGGAGCCACCTCAGGTCCAAAGGGGGAAACATAAGCCAGTTTCCAGTCCCACTGAGGATAAGATCTGTGTCAGTTAGTTTCCACGGCTGTGACAAAATACCTGAGAGAATCAACTTATGAGTAGGAAAGGTTTATTTTGGCTCATGGTTTCACAGGTTTCAGTCCACGGTCACTTGGACCTGTTGCTTTGGGCTTGTGGTGGCACAGGACATCATGGCAGAAGCGTGTGACAGAGGAGGTTTGTTCCCCTCAAGGTAGGCAGGAAGCACAAAGGAAAGTCAGGAGGAGCTCAGGTCCAACATCTCCTTTGAGGGCTACCCCCAGGACCTACCTTCTGCCCACCAGCCCTGGCTCCCACAGGCTCCCCCACCTGGGTCTCCAGACTGGCAACCAAGCCTTCAGTATATGGGACTCCAGGGGACTTTGAGGACCCAAACTGCAGCAAGTACCACGGAGAAGAGCTGTGCTGGAGTCCCGTGTCCCCGCCCTCCCAGAACCAGTGTCTCCTTGCATCCATGCTTACCCCTGGGGCTTTCCTGAGGCTGCTACTGCCACCCTGATGCAGATGAGCAGCCACTCTATCCCAAGCCCTTCAACGAAGGACTCTGGGTAATTCACTCCCCGCACCCAGCAGGCAGCCACTATTACTAGCACCTGGGGACCTGGAAAACAATGCTCTCACACCAAGGGGTCACACCTGAGTGGTGTCAGAGCTGGGGTGCAGCCTGGCCCCTCACCGTCACTCCACCTGCCATCCACCAGATGGCAGTACTGAGTCAGCACCTGGGCGCCTATGACCTTAGGACTGGAGTGGAGGCTCCAGCACTCTGCGTCCTGTGTCACTCGACCCTCTGCACCTTGCATTTGTTCCTGCAAGTGTCTGATGAGAGCCTGGAGGATGGCTAAGTTCAGCTGTCGTCACTAGGATCCCAAGTCAGAGCTCTGGAGTTTCCCTTGGCCTGTCATTCACACAGAGCAAGCCCCCCCCCACGCCCCTCACCTCGCTGGCTCTCTCATGATAGCTGCAGGCCACGCTGAGGTCAGGTCAAATAAGCGTCCCCTTTCTCAGAGCCACATCTCTAACGCTCAGCAGCCCATGGAAAAGGCCACCACCCTCGCCAGGGCATAGATGGAGCTCTCCATCATTCAAGTCCTCCTGGACAGTGGCCATCACCATGGCTGTCCAAGGACTGAGGAAGCTGCCAGGCACAGCCAGCTCAGGGCCAAGGCCAGGACTCCCTCCCAGGTCCCCCAGCCCCAACAATGCCACACCATGAGAGCTGGCACTTACTGAGGAGGGACCAACCTTCACCCAGGAGCTATGGCCCTGCAACCCTAGGAGCCCAGCACACAGCACAACCCTGCTGTCACCTGCACCACACCCCCACACACACACTGTGGTCCTCACCCGACTTAGCCGAGGTTGGTGAAAAGGAAGGGGAAATCGCCCATGGGGGCATATTTCCTCTCCGTGTGCACTGTTTAGAGATCCAGGGGAAGGCCAAGCAGGGCACCAGGCATGAGGCTGTGTGCTGGACCCTGCATTTCCTTACTTAGGGATGCTCCTCCAGATCTGGGCAGGGAGAGGTCCTAGTGGGCCTCCTGGGGAGGAGGAGGGGAGGGAAGAGACATGAGAGCAGCCACAGTGAGCACATGAGAGGCTCAGCACATGGCACAGACCGACCACCACCAGAGGGAAGGGACAGAGGCCAGAGGGTCCCAAATGTCCAGCACACAGCAGAGGCAGAGCCTGCAGCTGACCCCAGGGGGACCCAGGGCCTGCTAGCCTCCCTGTGAGTGAGAGGGAGCAGGGAGGCTGGAGGCCAAGGCAGGGCCTGGGTGGGCCTGAGAAGCAGCAGCCTCTGTCCACCCCCAGAAATCTCTTCCTGCCCATGAAGTTCTGCCACCAAATCTTCAACAGTCCGGCAAGTTCCTGCCACACTGCACTCATCTTGCAGGAAGCCGGAGCCCAGGGGTTCTGAAGATTCAGGGCCACACAGAGAACAGAGAGCCGACTGCAAGCCACTACACTCCTGGCCCAGGCCCGCCCTCCACTCCAGCCTTCCCTCTGCTCAGAAAGCAGCAGCAGGGACCCCACTGCCACAGTTGTCCTGGTGCCCCTGTAGGCGGCCTGAGCTGGCCCTGGGTGCTCTCCTCTGGTTTCAACTCCTCCCAGGCTGAGGAAGGGGCTCACCTGCTGGGTCTGGGCTGGACACTGTCCTGAGGAAGGAGGATCCTGGCAGAGGGCTGGAGCAGGTGTGGGAACGGGTCTTATATGGCAGGGCACAGCTGCCTGCTGGGAGGGGCCTCACCAGGACTCAGGCTGATAGGTTATACCACCCAGCCACCAGGATGTGACACTTAACCTCTCTACACCAGCCCTCGGTGTCCTCTCCACAGCCTCCTGAATTGGAAGTGACTTTCTCCAAGGCTGCCTTTGACAAAATGCGCAAGGGTAAGCCATGTTGCTGAGTGTCCCGGCATCAGCCATTCCCTTTAGGCTTCCTCCATGGCCCATGGTCCATTGTACCTCCTAAAACAGGTCCATTCACACTCCCCAAATTAACCTCGTTTACAGAAGAGGAACCGAGGCACAGAAGAAAACACACACACACACACACACACACACACACACACACGACGTGCCCACGGGGACAGTGCCAGGGCAGGGTTAGCATTCAGAACTCAAAATCAGACCATGTGGGTGCAGACAGCTAAGAAAGGGTGTCCCAGCCCCAGGGCAAATCTTAGCCTCACTGAGCTTCAGGGTCCGCCAGCCTAGAGGAGGCTCCATTCTGGAGAGTACCAGGGGAGACAGAACCTGAATAAAAGTGATGAGCAAGCAAAGCACAGGGGAGGCCAGGGTGCTGTGCCGACATAGAGGGCAGGGTCGGCCATGGTGCTGGGCAGGGGTTCGTCTGATTGGGGAGGTGGGGCAGCCTCGGGAGGATTGACGTGGGAGTTCTTCCTATGAGCAGGACTTCGGCCACTTCCTGCTCTCTGCCCTGCTCCCAAGGCCCTCGGGCTGCTCACCACAGCATTTTCCTAAGCAAAGGTGGGTCCCTCCCTGACAGAATCCTGTTGTTCCCACCACAGGTAAGCCACTTCTTCACTTCTGCCATCTGACAGGGCCAGGGTGGCCGAGGGACGTGGGTGTTGAGAGGTCCCACACGCATATCCTCCTGAGCTCTAGGTGGAGGTCCTGAGTCCCCAGGATTAAGACAGAAATCTGGGGGGGCCCCTCCAGAGCCAGGCTGGGGACAGAAGCAGAGACCCACGCTATTCAAATCCCCTCCTCCCAGTAAGTACCAGGTGCCCAAGCAAATGAGCTCAAAGCACCCGGCAAGTTCTGACCTGCATGCAGGCCCTGCCCCTGTCATGCACCCGACTTCCTTACCTGGCTCTCAGGCCTGCCTGCCGCCCAGAGAATGGGGACCTCAGGTCTGAAGAACCACATGCTGTCTGTTGCTCTTGGAGTCCTTACCAGGTGCCACTGCTTTTCCCAGCTCCACCCGTCAGCATTCCTGCAGGGTGTCCATCAACCGTGCTCTCAGTCAGGACCATATCAATGGGAACATGGAAGACAATAACACCTCTGGCCTGGGTTGCACAGGTCCACACAGCTGCTCACAGCAGCCCCGTCCATTCCTCTGGAGGCCCTGGGTACTGCTCAGGGGTATCGTTATCCCCTTCACAGATGAGGAAACTGGTGCCCAGAGGGGTCTTCTCTAGGGCCTTCAAATAGGTGAGCCACAATACTGCTTTCCCACTCAGCTCAGGTGGCACCACCCTCTACCCTGGACAGAGAAACACCAGCTTGCCTCAGCTTATCCCCATGCCACAGTCACCTTTCTGTCATCAGTATGGGGTCCAAGGAGCTGGATCATAAGGAAGAGCTATGAGAACACACCTCCCAGAAGCAGATCCTCTTTCTGATCAGCCAAGAAATCCAGGGACCCAGGAGAAGCCAGGTCTGCCACTCTGCATCTAGGAAGCACAGGGCACACCTCAGGCACCTGAGTGCCATCTCCATGAAGGAGTGCCAGTTTCCTGTTCTTACAACCAGCTCACTAAGGCAAGCCCAGGACCCCACAGTCACACTGCTGTGCAAACCTGGAGCCACTGTGGAAGGGTCTCCAGGGTCCTTTCACCTCCAGCAAAGCATGAAGGTGTTCCCAGAGGTGCCCCCATAAACACACAGAGGTGTGCAGGGTCAGGACAGGGAGGTCAGAGCAGGAATACCATCTCCACGGAGGAAGAATCCACTGAGAACTCAGCAAAGGGTCCCATCAGGAACACCCACCTTCTCTCCTGCTTCTGGGAGCTTCACTGATTGACTTATTTCTCCATTTCAGAGATGTAATATCAGGTGGAAAATGATAAGATGACTGTCCCCAACACTCCTGACCTCCAGCCACTGCACACAGGAAACATGGATGCCCTGGAAGATAAGCTTCATTAGTCTGTGCTCTTGTGTAAAAGGATGACCCCTTGAGTCCTGGGCTCCTGTGTTTCCAATGAGAGCAGTACCACCACTCACCTTTTAAAAACTTTTTACTGGTGCATTACAGTGACACAGAGTAATGGGGCTCAGGGTGACATATGCCACATGCACACAAGATAATTAGGCCTATTTCACTCCAAAATGGGCCCCTTCCTTCCCCTCTACCCTGCCCAGGTCTCCCTCCTCCAGTCTATTGGTCTCTTTTTCTGGGGTCCTTTTTCTTTCCTTCTTTCTCTCTAGCTTTCCTAGAGAGAAAAATCACAAGGCCCTTGGCTTTCTGAATGGCTAATCTCACTTAGCCTAATGTTCTCCGGCTCCATCCATTTTCCTGCAAATGACACAATTTCATTCTTTTTTACGGCTAAATGAAACTCCATGGCACCACCAGGTTTTAGAAGTTATTCTAAGAGTCAATAGACCACATGGGCAGACCTGTAGCACATCATACATAGCCCTGGAAACGGTGGTTGTCTCCTGCCATGGCTTTCATGAGCTCACACCAGTGACTGTCACAGAGCAGAGAAACCCTGCGGACACAGAGCAGTGGTCTAAGGTGAAGCTCAGCCTTGGGATGCACTTTTGCCCCTACCAATTGAGTGACCTGGGAGATTGGACATAATTTGGGTCTGTTTCCTCTTGAGACAAAGTGACAGCTACAATACCTAATGTATTAGAAAGATTAAAACATGTTGGGATTACTTTTAGCATTTCTATAAGTTATACCAAAGCATCCACTCAAGATTTTCCACTGACACCATTCCATCAAGTAAAGTAAATTTAAACCAATATATAAATAAAGCTTAAGAGAGAAGAACATATTTTGTTTTTTGCACAGTGCATAGATCATAAATTTGGTCCATGAAGGTTTGATTGTTTTTAAATTTTTTTAGTTGTAGTTGGTATAATATCTTTATTTATTTATTTATTTATTTATATGTGGTGCTGAGGATGGAGCCCAGTGCCTCACATGCTCAAGGCAAGTGCTCTACCACTGAGCTACAGCCCCGGGCCTCTTTTCTTTCTTTCTTTCTTTTTTTTTTTTTCAACTTTTTTTAAGTTGTAGTTGGTACAATATTTTTATTTATTTATTTATTTTTACTGCATGTTTAAGTTGTTGAGTTTTTTGTTTGTTTGTTTGTTGTACTGGGGATTGAACCCAGGGCCTTATGCATGCTAGGCAAGCACTCTACCAGCTAAGCTGTATCCCCAGCCCCTGACAGTTTTATGTTGTTATCACTAACTCAGGGATGAGCAGTTAGCTGACACTCCTTGATGGCAGGCAGATCTGTCAACAATCTCGGGGAATTTTCAACACAATTTCCCCCAGAAACTTCAGACCCTAAATATCTGGTGTTTTTCAAAAATTGTTGCATCCAACATTAGAAAGCCAGTATTTTATCAATTATTGGTTTAACTGCACTAATTGATATGGTTCCATGTGAAAAGATAATATGTGGAGACCATGTGTAGTGATGGAGTGGCCCTTGCTTAGGCTGGCATTGAAGGACTGAGCCCCACAGGCTGCTCCTGTCCACAACTGTGACCTGGTTGGAGGTGCTCCTGTCACCATCAGAACAAAAGGCCTATTGTGAATAAGAGCCCTCAGGTGACAGAGGCTGCTGCCCCCTCCCTCCTGCATCTGGATGGGTGAGGCTTAAACTTATGTCTTCAGCAAATAGGCACTGGTGTCCGACATGCCACATTCCAGCACAGATGGAACAAGAGATGAACTCATTGTCCTCCCTGTGATTTCACACTAAGAACAGCTACAAGCAGGTAAGTTGGACAGATTGATAGAACAAGAAGGAAGAAATAAAAATAAATGCAAACTGAAATGTGAGGGAAACAGAAAGGAAGCCGAAGTAGGTGGGTGCCTAAGACTGGTTCGGGAGACCCCTGTGAGAGGGCAGAAGGTAAGACGGCTCCAGGAAGAGGACAAAAGCCACAATCAAGAGCCCCACTGGGGAGGGACAGGTGACTTGCCTACAGAACTCAAGAAGTTATGGAAGAACAGCCACTTTATTGAAGAGCTAACTACATGATCAGCATTCCACCTTCCTCCTGGGCTCCCATCAGTCCTCCCTGCTGGTTCTTCTCATAAGCAGAGCATACAATATGCAAAAAGGCACTTGACTCCTTGGGCACGTGGTCCTGCAATTTATGAGCTGTGTGTTAACTTTTCTTCCTGACTACAGTTTCCTTCTCTATAAAATGGTGAGTTTTGAAATTGGCATTTTTATACACCAATAATGAACTTTCAGAGAAAGAGATTAAGAAAGCAATAATATTCACAATACCTACCAAAAAAAAAGTAAAATGTCTAGTAATGAATTTAACCAAGGAAATAAATGCCTCTACCTTGAAAAATTTTTTAAAAGTCTGATGAAATAAATCAAAGAGAATACAAAAAAAGGAAGACCTTCCATGATCATGTGTTAGAAGAATTAATATTATTAAAATGTCTACACCACCCAAATCAAGTTTCAGATTCAATGCAATCTCCATGGCATACTAAAGGCGCTCCTCACAGAGCTACAAAAGACAATTCCAAAATTTACGTAAAACCACAAAAGTTTTCAAATGGTCTAAGCAATTCTGAGCAAAATGGAAGCCTGGAGGTATTGTAATACCTGAGCTCAAAACATTCAGCAATATCTATCGTGTGCATGCATGAACACACAGCAGCGAATCCACTGTTACATATACAACAATGCACCCGTAAAAATATGG